AAAAAAAAAAAAAAAAAAAAAAAAAAAGGCAGCAGCACCGGTGTTGCAGCCATCGGGGAGCGAAGCAGTGGTTGGGAGATCTCGCCCACCCCGGGCCAACTCTGACTTCCACACACGTAAATAAGCCCGCGTCAGGAGCCAGAGACAGACTGGGTCCAGGCTCTCCAACATGGGAGCCGGGAATCCCCCCTGGAGTCGCGACCCTAGGCCACGCCCCCACGCTGCCTGCAGTGCGGAGGCCCTGTCACATCCCTGCCTAGTCTCAGATGCATTAACAGTCTGGGAATCGGCTACAGGCTGTGGGAGATACTGAGTGTTGGTTGTCTCTAAGACTTCCGGCCCGAGTGCCGGGGAAGGGTGGCACAAAGGAGACGCCCAGGAGCTTGGTTTAGTGTGCATGCCAGTGTGGCACAGCGGGTAGCACCTGTGACCCTGGCATTCCACGAGTGCAGGACCAAGTTCCAGCGGCTCCACTTCCAATCCAGCTCCCTGCCGTGGCCTGGGAAAGCAGCAGAGGATGGCCCAAGTGCTTGGTCCCCTGCACCTGCGTGGGAGACCTGGAGGAAGCTCCTGGCTTTGGCCTGGCCCAGACTTGGCTGTTGCAGTCATTTGTGGAGTGCACCAGCAGACGGAAGACCTCTGACTCTCTCCCTCCCTCCCTGTAACTCTGCCATTCTGATAAGTAAATCTTTAAAATAACAAGAAGGAAAACGCACAGTCCGCAGAAACTGCGGGGTGTGGGTGGCAACTGGAGCTCCGGGCAGAGGCCCCAGCGCAGGGCTGCATGCAGCCACGAGGCCGGAAGCGCTCCTGGGGAGGGCACTGCCGGGCTGCCTGGGCCACAGGACCCTCGTCCAACGTGGCGCTCACTGCTGCCCCCGGTGGAGGTGCCTATCTGAGTCCCAGAGAGACCCTGCTTCCAATCCAGCTTCCTGCTAGTGCCTGGGAAGGCAACGGGGAACGACAACTTGGGTTGGGCAGCGCGTCCCGCCGCCCACGTGGGAGACCAGGGTGGCGTTCTTGGTGCCTGGCCTCTGCCTGGTCCAGACTTCACACTGCTGCCATCTGGGAGTACACCAGAGGATGGAAGCTCTCTCTCTCTCTCTCTCCTTCTCTCTCTCTCTGTTGCTCTGCCTTGCAAATAAATAAATAAAAACTTACAAAGGGACACACGCCAGCCCAGGCCAGGCCTCAAGGCACGAGGGAAAGGCAGAGCCCTGCCCCACAGAGCCCGCCCGGTCTCGGGGAGCTCACTCTGCCGCATCTTCCTGACTTTCTTCCCAGACGCAGCAGGCGCGCCGACACAGGTGCGGCCGCCTGGTGTGTCCCCATTACCTGCCTGCGCTCCCGGCGGGTGAGGGTGTGGCCGTTGAGGATGCGCCAGAGCGTGCGCGCGGCGATCTTGGTGTCGATCCAGAGCAGGCGGAAGCCGTGGTAGTAGTGCTTCAGCTCGTCCAGGACCTTCTGCCCGATGGACTTCCTCTGCAGCGCCTGTGCCGGGGGGCTGTACACGGGGCCGCCCTCCTCCAGCTTCTTGTTCTTGTCCTTGAGGGACTTGAGGGACTTCTCCACCACGGAGTCCTCGGCCAGGGGGCGTGAAGAGTGCCAGCCGCGCACCGCGAGGTGCCCTGGTCCCATGACAACCACGCCTGCCGGAGCGGGGGTCCATGGCGCTCTGGCCACCGTGCCTGGTGGCTTGAGCCTCCGAGTCCAGTAGCTGAGGTGGTCACCTCGGAAGGAAAGGTGTGCAGGAGTGGCCAGTGCACAGCAGCCAAACGGAACATTCCTGAAGAAGGGAAACAGCGATGAGGAGCCGACACTCATCTGACCGCTCGGCACCGGACACCAGCGGTGCCGCGGCCTGTTACAGCCACACAGTCGCTTCCTTGTGCCTGCAAGACTCCCGGGGCCCCGAGAGGGAGGCGGCGTGTGTGCGACTCCAGTGCAGGGCTGGCCCAGGAGGACCAGGGGCCAGGCGGCTGCATGGGAGGCAGACACGGACACAGCTGGCCAAGCCTTGGCCTCTGAGTGGCCTGCAGGCCCACCCTCCTGGCCTGGGGAACCTGGGGGAGGGGAGTGTGCACAGGAACGCTCCCTTCAGAGCTCCTCTCCCTCAGCACAGCTTGCAGGCACAGGCCTAGAAGTCAGTGAGGACGGCACCCGGGCAGACCGACAGGCTCCAGCGGCTGGAAGGCAGCTGGGGACGGAGCCCAGGACCCACCTCCTGCTGCTTGGCACAGCCAGCCCAAGCCCAGAGCCCGTCCACTGCCCCTCATTGACACCCTGCCCCACTCTGACCCGTGGTTCTGTGCCCTGCCAGACACCTGCCATCTGAGAGGTGAGACCCAGTGGCCATCACGCCTGCTCCCTCTCCACTGGACGCAGGCTCTCGGAAGCTGGGCTGGGCTGGGCCGGCCCCTGGACGCAGGCTCTCGGAGGCTGGGCTGGGCTGGGCTGGCCCCTGGACGCAGGCTCTCGGAGGCTGGGCTGGGGTGGTGGGAGCTGTCCCTTGAAAAGCCTCAGGGCAGTGAGGACAGCAGCTCAGCTGCCCCTGGCCCACATCTGAGTGCCCGCTCCTGACTCCAGCCCCTGGGTCTCTGCCACCCATGTGGGAGGCCTGGACCGCATCCCCAGTTCCTGGCCCAGCACAGCAGGCCACTGCAGCCCCGAGGAGTCAAACAGCAGATGGCAGCGCGCTCTCCATCTCTCTGCCTCTCAAATCACTCAGTCGGTCAACAGGTAAATAAATGCTTCAAACCCTTCTCTGTCCACAATAATGCCCCAGGGAGCCAACCTGCTGGCAGCCAGAGCAAGCCAGTCCACCGCTAAGCCCCACACAGCTGCCCACCGGTGTCCACACACAGAACAGGCACACGACGAGGGCCCCTGTAGCCTGGACCAAGCCCTGCTTGGAGCCCTCTCTGACCACAGCACTGAACCAGGACACCACTTATAATCCAGTGTTGAACCGACTTCCCTGCAGTTGCCCGTATAGGCTCATATTAGAAACTTTTCCTTGTACAAACCCATAGGCCCCACTCGGGAGGACCGCTGTGGAAACCAACACAGCCGTCACCATGCACCTGGCCTGAGCCCTGGACTGACATCTGGCCGCAGGAACAAATGCCTGCGGGACAGTCCCAGGGAGGCACCCCAGGACCTCCCACGGGCTGTGTGGAGATGGGCATGACCAGAGGCCCCGTCAGGGAGGACGTGCCACCCCTGTTCTGCAGACGATGCCAGCAGGGCGGAGTCTCCCCGGCAACAAGAAGGAAGGACGAAGGCAGCAGTACCCTTACGACGAGAACCCCAGCCATGCCACGGAGGATCTGTACCCAGAGACCCCCACTCACCCCACGGTGGGGACTGGAGGACGTACAGACGACTAGGTCCCAGGACACACGCGATTCAGAGCTGTGAGCCAGTGACCCCGCCACCACCACCTAGGCCACAGCCATGCTGCCCGCAAACCTCGCCAGCACTCGCACTAGGTAACAGCCTCACCGCGGCTCCGGCTCTCCCGGTAAGGAGGCCTGTCCCTGGTGGGGTTTCAGAACCGCTGCAGCACAGCCTGCCTGCTCCCACCGGGTCCCAGTGCTGCTCCTCTGCCTCTGTTTCTATGATAAAAAAGTTGGCAGTGGGGCCGGCACTCTGGTGCGGCGGGCTAGGCCCCCCACCTGTGGTGCCGACATCCCATATGGGCACCAGTTCAAGTCCTGGCTGCTCCTCTTCCAATCCAGCTCTCTGCTGTGGCTTGGGAAAGCAGTGGAAGATGGCCCAGGTCCTTGGGCCCTGCACCCGCATGGGAGACCCGGAAGAAGCTCCTGGCTCCTGGCTTGAGACTGGCCCAGTTCTGGCCATTGAGGCCATTTGGCGAGTGAACCAGTGGATGAAGACCTCTGTCTCTCTCCGCCTCTGCCTCTCTATAACTCCACCTTTCAAATGAATAACTAAGTCTTAAAACATTGTGAACTTAATGAAGTTCAGCTTTTATGTTCAAAAACGGATATTAAACACTAAAAAGATGCTTGATGAATCGAATATCCGTTCTTAATAAAAAACATTTCATGGGGCAGGCATTTGGAGCTGTGGTTAAAATGCCCACACCTCATATCAGCGTCCCCGGATTCAAATCTCAACTCCCTACTAGCACACACCCGGGGATGCAGGAGGTGAGGAATGGCTCAGGTAGCCGGTCCCTGACACCCACATGGGACCTTCCCAGATGGTGCTCCTGGCTTCAGCCTGCCCCAGGCCTGGCCATCTGGGGAGTGAACCAGCAGATGGAAGATCTCTCTCTGATTTTCAAATAAAGGGAAATAAATTTTCCCCTGAACAAGGGGAAAAAAGCCTTAACAAGGTGAACAAGTCCCACCTAGAAAGACAACATGTTACTTTTAAAGTTTTAAATGGGGGCTGGTGATGTGGTATAGTGGGTAAAGCTGTTGCCTGCAGTGCTGGCATCCCATATGGGTGCCGGTTCGAGTCCTGGCTGTTCCACTTCTGATCCAGCTCTCTGCTATGGCCTGGGAAAGCAGTAGAAGATGGCCCAAGTCCTTGGGTCCCTGCACCCACGTGGGAGACCTGGAAGAGGCTCCAGGCTCCTGGCTCCTGGCTTCGGATCAGCACAGCTCCGGCCGTTGAGGCCATCTGAGGAGTGAACCAGTGGATGGAAAACCTCTCTCTCTCTGCCTCTCCTTCTCTCTCTGTGTAACTCTTTCAAATAAATAAATCTTTAAAAAAATGAATAAATATTTTATGACAGGAGTCTGTGACTATCTAAAGAGAAGCCTGACTAAAACCCAAGCCTAGCTGGGGGGAGCGCTGTGACAGCAGGCGGGGGCTGCGGGGGGCAGGGCGCAGGCTGGGGAATGCTCCTGGACAGGACCCGGGGTTGGAGACAGGAAACACGGCCACACAAGCACCTGGCACTTTGGCCACAGCAGCCCTCCCACATGCTACAGTCACGCAGGCCGGCTGTTCATCCCAGTGCTTTCCAAAGTCATGACACTAAAAATAGGCTTGTGGGGAGCAACTCGGACTAGACTGTTACTCGAATTAAGACTTATTCTATGCATCTGCTCTCCCACAATATGGCGCTGAGAAGGGAGAAACAGCTTCTACACAGCTGCCTCCAGTTCAACCAATAAACAGCAGGACCTGCTCCTGATTGGAGGAGAGCAGCGTGCTCGGCGTGTGGGTAGCAGAGTTGGGATTGGTGGAAGAGGACTATAAAGGAGGAGAGAGACAACATGCACAGGGAACATCTATCTGAAGGAACACCTGAGCAGCCCCCGAGAGAGCCGGCTGGCGGTGTGCCGCTCCCCCGCGGAAGTGGGGAAAGTGGCTAGGGGGAACTGCCCTTCCACGGAGGTGGAAGGGTCGGTAGCCAACCCGGGAAGAACCAGCAGCAAACCCGGGGAGGGCCGAGCAGACGAAAGAACAGTGCAGGGTCCTGTGCCATTCCTCCACGAAGACGGGGAGCGACAAGGCTTAAGCATGATCCTGCTTCAGCGATACCCGAGTTTTCACATCCGGCTCTTTGGTTTGCTTGCCTTTTTTTGAGATTTATTTTACTTACTAGAAAGGCAGAGCCACATGGAGGGAGAGACGGGAAAGAACCTTCTAGCTGCTGGTTAACTCCATCAACGGCTGCCTGAAGCCAGGAGCCAGAAACTCCATCCAGGCCTCCCACGTGGGCGCAGGGGCCCAAGCCCTCGGGCCATCTGCCACTGCTCTCCCAGGCCACAGCAGGGAGCCGGAGGGCCAGCACAGCCGCTGCGACCTGCACTGATGCTCTGAGACGCAATGATGGCACTGCGGGTCGCGGCTGAACCACTGCACCGCGGTGCTGGCCCGCCTCTTACTGACTGCCTCAGAGCACCACCCGGAGGCTTTCAGCTGAGAGCACAACCTCACAGCCTTACATGAGCAGGAGAGCGGAGGGCCAGCGCTGAGGGACCGGAGAGCGAGGGCCTGGGGAGGAGGCGGGCCTTTGTGCTCTGCTCAGAGAGGCAGGGGCGTTGGGAGGGAGGGGACAGAGGCTAAGCTGAGGGGTGCGCTGGGCACAGGGGACAGCTCCAGGGACACAACGCCCCCACAGAGAGGTCGGGCCCCCCATCAGTGGTTGTGGATGCACTGCGAGCAGCACCACCCGTGCTGCACGGTCTCTGTCAGCCACCATTTGTCCTCCACTGGACTGCAGGTGCCAAGGGCCAGAACCAGGCCGCCACACCCAAGACGCCTCCAAAGAATCAGACGCAGGACATTCCCCTGGCTGGCCGGCCCTCGGGCAGCTCCTCAGGAGGCTCTGCCACGCGTCTGCAGACACGGCCCCACTGCGACACGGCCAGGCACAGACACTCCGGCGGTGACCACGGACAGCCACCACAAAGAGTGGACAGAAGCGGTCAAGCTGGATCTCCAACACTGCGAAAGCAGGTCGCCCGAGACCTCAGCTGTGTGTGCTAGAAGTCAGAAATATGGGGCAGGCGCTGGGCACGGAGGCTCAGATGCTGCTCCTGAACCTCCTCCGACGCCGACTGCCTGGGTTCAAGTCTCAGCTCTGCTCCCAACTCCAGCTTCCTGCGGCAGCCACGAGGAAAACCTAGACGATATTCCAGGCTCCTGACTTCAGCCTGGCCCAGTCCTGGCCGCTATGGGCTTCTGGGAGTGAACCAGCACGTGGAAGATCTCTCCCTCTCCCTCTCCCCCTCTCTGCCTTCCAAAAAAAGATGCTTAAGGAAAATGGTCAAAATAAAATACACCAAACGCTGCCGCACTGGTCACTGCGCACTGGGAACACGGATTTCTCTCCGAGAGACTCACTAACGTGCGAAGCTACAGCTTTCAACACAAAAGCAGCAACGCGGGAGCCGAGCGCACGACGCACAGGTGCCGCGGCTCTCCGCACGGTGTTTACTTACACGCGGCTCAGGAGCCCCACGGTGCTGGTACAGCTGAGGCAGGCACGATCCCCCAGGCCACCTGCGACAGAGCGAAGGGACAGTCAGCATCAGTCTCCAGTCCGGCGTCTGCACTGTGCAACACCCGCATCCCATTTCGCGCCAGTGTGAGTCCCAGCTGCTCCCTGCTGTGGCCTGGGAAGGCAGTGGAGGATGGCCCATGTCCCTGGGCCCCTGCACCCGCGTGGGAGACCCGGAGGGAGCTCCCGGCCCCGGCTGGTGCAGGCACGAGAGTGAAGCGACAGACCCTGTTCCTCTACCTTTTAAATGCAACATCTTTAAATGAAGTCCGACAGAGCACCACTGTGCTTTTGCAGAAACCCGTATGGCCATGTCTCTGCCGTGCGCCCCACGGAGCAAGGCTTCCGAGCACTGCCAAGGACGGAGTGCCCAACTCAGGAAAGCAGTGTCAGGGTGGCCCCAGGGAGAGATGGGGAGCCTCACACAGCCCTTGGGTCCATGCACCCTGAGTGGGAAGTGGGGCAGGCCGGGCCCTTGGGGCTCCTACACCCCATTTGTTTCAGCTGGCTCTGGTGGGTAGCGTTCAGGGTGCACACGATCCCGGTGCAGACAGCCTCACAGAGCAAAAACCGACCCTGAGGGGCGATGTCTGATGAGCACTGGAAACACGAATGTTAAGAGCAAACCGGGGCTGGTGCTGTGGCGTAGCAGGTAAAGCTGCCACCTGCTGTGCCGGCATCCCATATGGGCACTGGTTCGAGTCCCAGCTGCTCCACTTCCCATTTGGCTCTCTGCTATGGCCTGGGAAAGCAGTAGAAGGTGGCCCAGGTCTTGGGCCCCTGCACCCACGTGGGAGACCTGGAAGAGGCTCCTGGCTCCTGGCTTCGGATCAGCTCAGCTCCAGCCGTTGTGGCTAACTGGGGAGTGAACCAGCGGATGGAGGACCTCTCTCTGCCTCTGCTTCTTTGTAACTCTGCCTTTCAAATAAATAAATAAATAAATATATATATATATATTTTTTAAAGGAAACCATTTCCTGGATAAGGGCGCAGCACACTTTTAGGATCCTAGGGTGCTTTCAATGCCTTCCCTAAGTCACTCAATTCCCGTGAACATTTATGCAGACCACCGTGCTCAGTCTCTGTCAGGGGACAAGGCACCATCCCCGGGAGGGGACAGAGGTGACAGTGAGGACAGCTGAGTGACAGGAGGGAGACCACTTGCTTCTGCGGGGAAAAGACTCGCATCACACTTGACACCTGCAACCCAGCTGGGACAACAGCACCAGGTTCAGCAGGGCCCCTGCAGCTACGGTCTCCCAGCATCCCCTGCAGCTACGGTCTCCCAGCATCCCCTGTAGCTACAGCCTCCCAGCATCCCCTGTTAGCTACGGTCTCCCAGCGTCCCCTGTTAGCTACA